CACACTGAGTGCTGTGCCACAGCGTTAGTGACAAGACTCCCCTGTAGACATGCTGGGGGGCAGGGGGACAGGGGGTTTATCTGAGAGGTTCCATGCCCTATCTTTCTCTATGGAGTCACTACAGTACTTCACCTGGACCACAACTCCTCCTAAAACAAAACAAAGAAACCTTGCTGCCCTGCAGCCACCACTAGGTCCTGAACAGATAACGATGCAAATCCCTGTGCCTTGCGATTGCTTCAAAGTACCATGGAGAGCTACCAAGGCTGGGCCAAGCCAATACCAGCCACCTCTGCAGTTCTGGCCTGTCTCTCGCTGTTTTCATGAATGCTGCTCTCCTCTCACATCCCCGAAGGGCATCCCACCCCTCCCCAAACGTCCCCCATCTCCCACTACACCCTCGCCTACTCTCTCAACAGAATAGGTCTGACCTCACTCACGAGGCTGGAATTCAACCCGTACCTAAAATGCCCCCTTCCCCACCCCCAAACACTGTGCCTCCCCCAGATGGCAGTCTAAGCTGACCCACTCTAACCTCACCCAATTCCAGTCACCTCCACTCACTCCAACGACCTCAGAGTAGCGCACACACCAGGTCCTGACAGACCCTAACGCCCAGCGAATGCACAAGGGCAACTCGACTGCTGGGAAGATTCCATTTCCCAGCTAACTGAGGCAGGCTGAAGACGCGGTTGAAACGCTTTGCAGAACTATAAGCCCTTCTGTGTCTACACAGCATCCTGGGCAAAACTTAAACTTTCTTCAAAGTGTATAGAGACTCTCATCACGTCGCCCCTCCGCTACCCCCAGGCTCCCTCGGCCACAGACACAGGAGGCACAGGCAAGGTGAAAGATACGTTCAGATCTCAAGACAAATCCCAGGGGTAATTTTTATCATAAATTCATGAAAATGTTCAAACAGCTATTTCTTCCTTATCCTAAAAACAAAGTTTAGGGCAGGGGAAGGGGACAGTGAGAATCGCATGAAATGAGGAGTCCAACTGAGTTCTAGTGAATCAATAAAAATTCAGTTGCGTCTCATCGTCTCGGGGGTTAGGTTTTTAAATCAACAGTAAGGTCCAAACTGAGAAAAGACAAACCACTCTTGAAAATCTCTCTACCTCACACTCCGTCAGGCTTTTAGATTAGTGGTTCTCAATTGGAGGTAATTCTGCCCCCAGGGGCCATTGGCAATGTCTGGAGACATTTCAGTTGTCATGACTGGAGGGTGGGGCTAGAAAGGTTGCATTATTGGCATCTAGTGAGGGTAGAGGCCAGGGAGACTGATCAAATCCCTACAATGTGGGGCAGTCCCCCATTGCAGGGAATTATCTGGCCCCCAAGGTCTACAGTGCTGAGGTGGAGAAACCCTGGGCTGGGTGATCACTCAGGGACAGGCAGGACCGAACTCAGGAGGAAGGAAAGCCCAGCACCTGCTGGTCTCCCATGACAGGCTCAGTTCAGGGCCATCTCCAAGTGGGGCAGGGCCACCTGCACTATTTAGACTCTTTCTTCGCCAAACATCCTACAATGCATAGGATGGAGAATTATCCAGCTCAAAATGTCAACTGTGCCAAAGCTGAGAACCCTGCTTCATGCCGTTTCCCGTGTTTCCACCATGTATGTCCACAGGCCAGAAAGGAATTTATATGATATCTTCTAATGCTGGGATCTAGACTCCGGGGATGTCCTATAGTCCAAAAATTCTTTGCGCACCTTCTCCCCATTCTTCTTTACTGTTCCCAGGGACAAACTCCACCTTCAAATCATGATGTCAGTCTATAAAGCAGAACAACTCTAGAGACAGGATGATTAATGAGTTTGGGAGGTATCAACAGTGAAATGCTGAGCAGGGGAGACTATCCCCGGACAGTGTGAGACACGCACACACACTCTCCCAGGAGAGAGGTCCAAATGGACTTTAACAGACTTTAACAGGACTACCAACAAAGGGCCATGGGAGTTGCTGTCACCATCCATGAGTGGATCACCATGGCAACAAGAGCCATGGCAACAGGATGCTGTACTGGATACACAACTGAAAACATGTCCTTGTGCATGAGTGCGGCACACCTAACCTGTACTACTCAAACCAGTGGGTCTCAACTCTGGCTGCATGTCAGAGTTGTCTGCGCTGCTAACTGTTCAGACGCCCAGGACCCAAGCAGCACCTCACAGAATCTGCAAGGCGTGGGCACTGAGTATCTGTGGTTTTCAGAAAGCTCCCCAGGTGATACTGATGCCCCACCAGGCGGTATCGGGACGGCCACTGCTCAGACGGACACAGAGGTGGGACTGGCCCAGAGAAGACAGACAGCGAATGGAGGAGGAGCTGTGAGCATGGAGCAACTGAGGATCCCACTCTGGGAAGGCAGAAGCCAAGAAGACATCTGACTGGAGTTTACACAGCAAGAGAAAAAGCATGTCTATGTGGCAGTCCCTAAAGCTTCAAAATGTATAGGCGAGGAAGTCCCCCTTTACATAGTGAATAAGAAATTAAACACCCTAGCAGACTGAAAGCCAAACCAGAAATGGAGTCAAGAAACACAGAGCCACTGATTAGAGGATGGCAGGGATATCTGAGGCACAAAGATCCACTAAGATTGTCAGAAGCAAAATGCTAGGTGAGGGTGGCACTTATTAGGGAAAAATTTGAAGTACAAAACACTCCATTTCTCTGACACTTTTCAGTTCAACTATGCCATTTACAATGGACAGCTCATGTGCCCAGCATATGCTAGAAACAGTGTCCCCTGGAAAACTGCAATGCATAATTTCCCCTGTGTGCTCAAATGTGTTCCTCACAACAGGGTCTTCACTGATGAATTCATTCACTCAGCTAGTGTTTCCTGGATTTCTGCTCTGTGCCAGGCACTGTTCTAGATGCAGGGGACCCATCAGTGATCACGACAGATAAAAATCCCTGCCCTTACGGAGCTTATATCCTAGTGGAGGGGCAGTCAAACAAACAAGTGAAATCTAGTGTGCTTGGGTAGTGACAAGCAGGGTAAAGGGAATAAGGAATGTGGGTATGACTTAAGATGGTGGCCAGAGAAGTTTCCAGTAATAAAATAACATATAAGTAAGAACGAACAAGCTATTATCTGGGGGAAAATGGTTTCAGTCAGAGGAACCAGCAGGAAAAAAAGGCTAAAAGGAAGAAGTGTATGGACCATTCAAGGAAAACTGAGAGTGCCAAGGGGGGGTTAGAGCAGAGCAAGTGAGGGACAGAGTAGAGAGACAGGACAGGGGGGAGTCAGGGGTTCACTCTGGCTTCTGGGTTGAGAAGTTTTCAGATGGGTAAGGGGGGTGGAAAGGGGGGCCCAAGTGGTGGTGAAAAGTGGTCACCCTCTGGAAACGCCGTTAGGGTAAAAGTGGTAGAATTTACTGCGGAGTATGAGAGACAGAAGGGAGTCGGGGTGACTTCAAGGTTTTGGGCCTGAGCAATTCAAAGAATGGACTTGCTGTTTACCACAGTGGGAGAAAGACTGAGATGCGCAGGTTTTGGTGGTGGGGGAGGGTAAGAATTTTGTTTTGGACGTGCTGTTACATGTGCCTGACACATCCACGTGGAGACGTTAAATATGATGCTGCACATGCGAGTCTTGAGTTCAAGAAACTATATGGGCTCAAGATGTAACTATACCAAGTCTGTCATGTTGATTGCCATTTGTACAGTGCCCTTCCTGCCTTTCACTGGACCTCACGAGATGGAATGCCTCAACCTGGCATGGGCTCCTTTACCTTATAAAAGAGGCGCAGCTTAAAATAGCCAAGAATGGGGGGCTCTCAAGCCAGATCACCTTGGTTCACATCTCTGTTCTTTACAAGCTGTGTGTCCTGCCTTGGGTAAGCAGCTTACTCACTCTAACTCAGTTTCCTCACCAAGAGAATGGGGCGAACAGTATCTATGCCTCACAGAGCTTTTGTGAGGAGTACTGCTGGAGATAACAGTGTGCCAAGACGTTGAAAGGTACCTGGGATCATCCCAAATGCTCCACAAGGCTGAGCACTTACTATCCTCATTCATTCATTAGTGCCATTCGGTAGGGAAACCTCCAGACACCCTCCAGTAACAGGCAGCACGGTAGCGGGAGGCAGGCCAGACAGGTAGAGAGCCTGCTTACAGCTGTGCGCTGGGAAAAGGAGGGGGTTAAAAACAGGCCTCGGAAGTCCTGAAGCTACAGCGATAGCAACACGACTGTCGTTGCAACCGGACATCAGCCTTACGGAGTGCTCTGCGGGATTCAGAAGTGTAACCTTGTCAAAAAACACTCAAGTGGGATGTCAGCGCTCCACCGAGAAGGAAATCACCCGGTCTCTCTCTGGAAGGGCAGCCAAAAAAAAAAAGGGGGGGGGCAAAAAGCAGCTAGAGCTTTCTCGGCCCAGATGCTGTGGCTGGGCCTGAATCAGGGGAGACAAGGCGCCCCGAAGGATCTGGGAGGACAGGGGGCTGAGTTCGGGGCAGAGAATGGGTGAAAACCGCCTGGGCTTCCTCTGTCCTCGGCGTGGGGCCGGCCCGCGGAGGATGAGGACCTCACGGGATTAGAGGATGGGCAGCCGGGCCGGAAGAGGGGAGATGCCGGGTCCCCGAGGTCGAGGGCGCTGGGGAGGGAGCGTGGCGCGCTCGGGCCCACCACCAGGCCCCAAGGTGTATTTACATCCGAGGCCCGGGCTGTGAGACCGCGTCTCCCGTCCCCTTCAGCCTGGGGTCTGACCTGCGAAGCGGAAAGGCCTCGACGCTGCGACCCCAGCGGCCTCCCGGCTCCTCTGGCCGGACCGTGGCAAGGGCCGGGGCTGCCGCCGAGTGATGGGTCGGGGCCGGTGAGCCTGGCCTGAGGGGACGCAATGGGGGGCGGCTGCGGGGCCCGCTGGAGCGCTACCCCGGAGCGGACGGGACCCCCGAACTCCGCGGAGCTCCCCCCTCAGGCCTGTGGCCCCTGAATACCCCGCCGCCCGTTCCCCGGCCGCCAGCCGGCCCCCGACGGCGCCTCCCCTACCTTCGTTCGCCAGGTCCGCCATTTTACTTCCTTGAGCCCTCCCACAAGGCCCCGCGCCGGCCCGGGCTCGCCTGCTTTCTGCCAGAAACTCCCGCGCGTGCGCACTTAACAAGCCGACGCCGTGCGAGGCGGACAGCTTCGCGCATGCGCGCTGAGCCCCGCGAGGAGTCGGGTTGCCGATGGCCTTCCCGGCCGGGCCGGGCCGCGCTTTGAGCACGCGCCTGCGCACTAACCGCCCTCCGCCTTTTTTTTCCCGCCGACAGAGGGGGCGTGGGCTGGGCAGGGCAGGGCGCGTGCGCACTGGCAGCACGCACGTAGCAGGCGCTGCAGCCGGGTTGAGGCTTCTGTGTGGCGGTTCGGCTGGAGCCTGGTCTTGACGCCCCCGATTTCCCGCTTGTTTTCCGGGGGGTCCCCAGGGGTGGCAGAGTGAGCCATCGAGCCGAGGCCTTCCTCCAGGTCGATCCCTGGGGCCGCGGGGGCTTTTCACACGTGCAGGCAGGAAGCCTGTTACCTCATGCCTCAGTTTCCCTGCCCCAGGAGCCAGCGCCGTCGGCAAACGCTTATCTGAGGGCGCGCATGGAGGTGGCGGGAGGGCGCGGGGTGGTTGCGTGGGGGACGGGGAAGCAAAGCTCGGAGGTTGAAGAGCACGGGCCTGGGTGGGGGTGGGGCGGCCAGGTGTGAGGAGGGGGCGCGGCTTCGGACGCAGGTGCTGGGGGGGGGGGGGGGGGACGCGGCGCAAGGGACTTGACCTCTTTGAGCCACAACAGTGGGAACCCCGGCACCACCAGACCCCCAACGCCCCTATCATCGCGCTGGGCCTCAAGGTTCTCCATCTGTAGAATGGGACCATTGACCTCACAAGGCTTATGGGAGGATAGTGAACCTCCTGGAGTCATTCTCTACTCCCCTGCTACAAATCCCTCAGCAAATCATGTGGGCTTGGCCTCACTTACAAAATATAGTCCGTATCCACCTGTTCGTACCAGCTTGGTTGTCACCAACCACCCTAGGCCACATTATCCTCATCTCTCCTGGACGACTGAACAGCCTCCTCTCTGCCATCCTCCATTTCATTCTTACTGAGCTCCAGGCTCCATACTGTACGCAGCAGCAGGACGAGGAATCTTTTTAAACTACAAACCAAAAATATAAATATCAAGGGCACATCCATCCTCGATGCTCCCAAAGGGAAGCTGAACTTGGAATAAATTCCAAACCTCTTATTCAGGCGTCCTAAGCCCACTGTACATGGCTCTTAAGCAATACTGTGTTCCCCCTGCTCATTGCAACTCAGCCACGCGGGTCTTTCTGTCCCTGGAGCCCAGCAAACTCACTCCAGCCTCAGGATCTTTGCACATGTTGATCCCTCTGCTTGGGACTTTGTATTCCAGACCTTATGTAGGTTTGAGTCCCAGCCCTGCCCCTTCTAGAAGGGGGTGGAGCAAGTCCTATAACCTGTGGCCCAAATCTGGTCTATGAGCTGAGAGTGTTTTTTTCTTTTTTTTTAACTGGCTGGGGAAAAGATATCAAAAGAGGAATAGTATCTTCTGACATGAAAATTGTATGAAATTTAAATTTCAGTGTCCATATATAAAGTTTTATTTGAAATCAGCCACACTTACTCATATGTTGTCTATGGCCACTTTGGAGCTGTAACAGCAGAACTGAGTCCATTTAACAGAGACTGTGTGGCCAAAAAAAGTATTTACTATTTGTGTCTTTCCAGAAAAAGTTTGCCAACCCCTAATCTAGGACACATGTATTTACATGGTTATCCTATACTTCTCTGTGCAACCAGAGGGGTATGGCAAATGTTTAACAACTGCTTCTCTGGCGGAGAATGTGTATGTTAGTATGAATCAATGTATATGTGCACATGTAGTTTATTGGGGGATGGGCTATATTGAATACCATTAAATATATCCTCAATACTCGATATTTTGCCAGCAGGCTACAGGCATAAGGCACAGACCTTTTTTTTTTTTTTTGAGACAGAGTCTCACTCTGTTGCCCGGGCTAGAGTGCCATGACATCAGCCTAGCTCACAGCAACCTCAAACTCCTGGGCTCAAGCGATCCTCCTGCCTCAGCCTCTCAAGTAGCTGGGACTACAGGCATGCGCCACCATGCCCGGCTAATTTTTTCTATATATATTTTTAGTCATACAGCTAATTTCTTTCTATTTTTTTGGTACAGACGGGGTCTCGCTCTTGCTCAGGTTGGTCTCGAACTCCTGAACTCAAACAATCCGCCCGCCTCGGCCTCCCAGAGTGCTAGGATTACAGGCGTGAGCCACTGCGCCCGGCCGGCACAGATTTTGAGTTAGAAATTCTCTAGGAATAGCTAGAATGTCAATCCACCTGGTCACCTGCAGTGTGTAGAACTCTGGTCTTCTCCTTCCTGCTTGTTAGTTTCATTATATTCAAACTTTCTGTGGGTGGGTCATCTCAGACTTTGCCATCTCTCTGAACCCTCTGACTTTTAATGAACTTCATGCTTTTCTTTTGGTTTAAGTTTACATTAAATAGATATTTTATATCACTGCTTAAAATAGGAAACCACTAAGCTGTGAATAGATCCTTGTAAAAGTAAACATGGAAACAAAACAATGTTTTTAAATTCTTAGTAGTTACTGTTGCCTTCCACGGTGCTAAGCCCAAGCTTGCTTTTTTCTTTGATGTAAAGGGAGATTAGCAAAGTATTAGAGGGTCATTATAGGCATATTATCACCCAACGGAAACTTTGTACGTAACATAATGAGAAGGAGTGAAAGAGAATTGAAAACGGGCTAACTATAATCTGTGTGATTTGGTGTCATTTAATGCCATGTCTACAGGTCGCCTAAAGTCATGTCCTACACCACATTCTTCCCAGACTTTGGGAAACTCCCAGCAACATGTCATCACTTGCTAAATATAATCCAGTCGTGGCTTTTCAAGGGACACCAAAAGATACAAAACCTATCAGCCTAATGAGCCAACTGAATTTCCACTGGTTTCACAATTCTTAGTGTCGATGGCTGCCAGCCCTGTGCTCCTCAGGCCTTCCTTTGCTTTCTCTATTTGGTGTCCTCTAACAAATTAACTTAGTCAACAACCATTTGAACAAATACTTGTTGATTATCTACTGTGGTGGCTTTAAAATTTAGGCCCAAATTCTTTGACTCTCTTTCCATCAAGAGGGGAGGGCTCTGTTTCCTTCCCTTCAATGTGGGCGGTGGGCTTGTTCATCAATAGAGTATGGTGGAAATGACGTTGTGTAACTTGCAAGGCTGGGTTATAAGGCAGCTATAAAGCAGCAATGCAACTTCCCCCTGTTTTGCTGGAACAATAGCTCTGAAAGCTTTTGGCCATCAGGTGAGCAGTCCAGCTGCTCTGAGGCTGTCGTGCTTTGAGGAAGCTGACAGCACGGTCCTGAGCAAGAGATGCCCAGCCAACCCCCAACTTCCTGCTGCAGCCATTGACTATCCTTGGATGAGAGACCCTGAGCCCTGAGAAAAAACCACCCAACCTAGCCCTTCCCATTCCTCACCCACAGAAACCATGAAATATAAATGATAGTTGCTGATAGAAGTCATTACTATGTTTTGGGGATATTTGTTACGCAGCAGTGTATAGCTCCTACACCTGCCATGCATCAGGTACCATTCTACACATTGGGTTCCCAGGAACAACAAGACAGAGCCTGCCTTCATGGAACTTTGCATCCTTTTATGGGGAGACTAATGAGATACTGACAAGTGCTACAAAGAAAACAGTGTATTGAGACACAGGGACAGAAAGGGGGCTACTTTAGAGTGGTTTGTCAGGAAGTGCCCTGTGAAGAGGTGACATTTTAGTAGATCTGCAGGAGAAGCATTCTAGCCACAACAGCAAGTGCAAGGGTCCTGAGGCAGGAACAAGCTTGGTATGCCGGAGGGACAGTGAGGAGCTCCGTGTGGCTAGAGCAGAGTGACCAAAAGGAGAGGTGGAGGAAAGGAGGTCGGGGAAGGACCACAGCGAGGAGTTTGGGCTTTTTCCTGATTGCAAGGGTTGGAAATGGGAGCGATTCAAATGATTTGCTCTAAACTGCTGATTGGCACCCTTGCTACCTTGGCTTCCCAGGGTTCAGGTCTCAGAGGACCCCCTAAGCCCAGACTGAGCTCTAAGGACCACGATCCTCCCTCCTCTGCAGCCAAGGAGGACAGGACAGTGGCTTCTGCAGGAAAAAGGGCCTTCGCGGCTCTAATTCAGTTCTCATCTTCCCATCGTAGGCAGGGAGCCTGTGTGTGCAGTATGTGCTCTGTGCCGGGCCCACACTGAGGCCGAGTGTTGTTCAGAGTCAGGTGGGGACATCATGGGTTGCCTTCTTTGCTCCTCACCTTTTGCTGTCCTCCCTTAGTCCACCGGGTCAAATTCCCAACAGCAGGATGTTCCATGCGGATTAAGAGCAGCCCTTCGCCCGTGATGGTGGGGACCCCTGACCCAAGGCATATAAGTGCGCCTCCCCAGGAAGTTGGGGGGGGTCTCGCTCTTGCTCAGGCTGGTCTTGAACTCCTGACCTCAAGCGATCCTCCCGTCTCGGCCTCCCAGAGTGCTGGGATTACAGGCGTGAGCCACCGCGCCCGGCCAGGTCATGCATTTGGGGCAGGAATTACACAGAAGTCATGTGCGTCCTTCTCAGTATATTCTGAGACACATGGTGATTTGTGCCATTATTGATGATATGACTTAGGTCGCTTGGTTTCAGATGGTGTCTGCCAGGGCACTATTTTTCCCTGTGTAATTATGAACATCTCGTGGGGAGATGCTTTGAGTCTATGTAAACAAACAGAGAACGTCGGAGGAAGAGAAGGAGCAGGGGGAGAGGGGAAGGAAGGGAGCTAGCTCATTCTGTCTCTCCCATCCTGCACGCTTCTAGGCAAAACCCAAGCTTGCAGCGTCCCCGGTGAAAAGAAAGAGGCTGTGTCACACAGTGACCACTGCGGGGCAGCAGAGGACTGGGATGAATTCAAAACTTGGCGGGGGGCGGGGCAGGGTGCAGGGGGGCGGGGAGAGTTTCCTTCCAAGTAGCTACACTTACTAGGACTCCAAAGCTCGGCATGTGTCGAGGATCTGGCGTGGTCCACGAGCCAGGTCGTGCAGGCGGAGGCAGGAAGTGTCAGCTGCGTG